TTGAATCTCCCTATATATGTAGAAGCTGACCATTGATCAAATCAAAAGGGTCAAAGTGATGGGGGAGGGTCAAAGTTGAAGAACATCTTGTACTATGAAGCAGTGTTCCAGGTGAAAACTTTGCCCCATTAAAAGTAAAATTACAGGAAATGAATGTTCTTGCATGTTCTAATTCAAAGGTGTACTTTCTGCAAAATTTGATGTTTTTAAGATTAATGATATATATCCAGGAATTAAGCTATTAAATAACCACCACCCGAGTAAATAGAAAACTGAAACCTTTTTTATCACTTTTGTAGCTGATAAATTTCTAGAAATGCCCATACCCATGTTACCAGAGGACACGGGAATTGCACAGTTTATGAAGAAAGTATTTTCTGATTATGAAAAAATTAGAGGTAAACCATCAAAGTCAGTCATGTTCATTATCCTGTTACGGTTGTATAATGTGGTGTAGGACTTTCTTGACAATAATAAGCACTCCCCCCACATTTCTTGAGCATTTTATTAAAATGAAATGTCATAATACAAACTAAAATGCTATTTTTACTGAAATTCTGTCAATCATTTCATATTAATGATACACATTAAAAAATATTCGAACTGCATGTACATGTATATAATCAAAATTAAGTGCCTTTGTTTTGTAAAATTGTGAATTTTTGGATTTGTTAAATCAGAGCAGAGGTTACATACATGTAGTTCATAACACATATAGTACTTTTCTTTTTAGGAAAAGACAAAAATGCCAATGATTCTGTGTTTTGGGATGTTGTCGTAATTACAACTGCAGACTATGCACAGAAGAATGTATTTGAACTTCAGATTGAAAGCAAAAGAAACAGAAAAGAGCTTCCCTTGAATCTCCCCATTTATGTAGTAGCTGACCCTGTTGGACCAAAGATAGGTATGTTTCTAACATATTCAAGCAGTATAAACATTTTCAAAATTTAGTGCAAAAGAAGACCATCCACTATGATCCATGTAGTATCCCGAGTTTATATTGTGTCAAATATGGATAAAAAGAATCTCTACAAAATTGGAGGTCCCAGTGACTTGCTTCTAATCCACATTTTACTGTATTTACCATTGAATTTTTTTTTAATTTACATTTAGAGAGCATCTTCTTGAAAATTTTTGTTAATTTCACTAAAATATTGTTTGACAACAGGTAATGGTGGATCCACATTGGTGGTTTTGGCCTTTTTACATCTTTGTTTGGGTCAGGAGATGTTTGGGAAGAAGATCCTATTGATTCATGCAGGAGGACAGAGCAAAAGGATGCCAAGTGCTAGCTGCTTGGGCAAAATATTCTCTCCTATTCCTCATGGAGACCCTATCTACCAAATGTTAGACCTGAAATTAGCCATGTACATGCCCTTCCTTCCTAATATGCCACCTGGAGTGTTTGTGGCTTGTGCTGATGATATATTAGTGTATGATCTTGGACCTGCTGAGGATTCTAAGTATTGGTCATTCTGCTATAATGGATTTACTGCTCTAGCTCACCCCTCCCCAGTACAGATAGGAACCAAACATGGAGTCTACGTAGTGGAGAATGAGAAAAATGTAGATCCTAAGAAACATGTCCGAGGGATGAGGTGTTTGAGGGTGCTACAAAAACCCAGGATCACACAGATGTATGAGCAGGGTGCAGTACTTAGTAACCTGACTTTCTCAGAGGAAGTAGCTGTAAAGGGAGACATGTCATACACTGACAGTGCTTTCTTTTTTGGAATGGATGTAGCTAAGAAACTTTTGCATTTTTATAAAGAAAACTGTCCTTTAACATGTGAAATTGATGCCTATGGAGATTTTCTGCAAGCATTAGGTCCTCAGGCTACCAGTGACTATGTTCACAACACAAAAAACGTTACACATTTGACTCCAAATCTTGTCCCCACTAGGTTAAAGATATTTGAGCTCTTGAAGGGAACAGACATAAGCTTACTCTTGATGAACGCCTCTAGATTTATCCACATTGGCACAACAAAGGAGTACATTTATCATTTCTGTTTTGACACCAAACTTCAAAGTGAGCTTGGATTAGAGAAGGACTGCTTTAACACTTTTACAGAGCTTGAACCTCGTGCCAAAAAGCAGAAGTTTTCAGACACAGGATTTGGTTGTATCATGCATTCCTGTTTACCTTCCAACTGCTTTGTATCTCCAAACACAGTAGTGGAGTACTGTCTCTTTGAGTATCCACTTCAAGTGGGTCAGAATTCCATCATTAGTAACTGTGCAGTATTAGAAGAAGAATTGACAGAAACCCCTCCTCCACACACTCAGATCCCTCACAATTTATTTCTACACACAGTAGCAGTCAAACACCAGGAAAAGACCAAATATGCCACAATTGTGTTCCACATCGAGGACGATCTAAAGAAGCAGGTCCCAGTGTCTGAAGTCTCAGGAGCCCCTTATCTAGGATATGATATCCAACGCTTCATTGAGAATTGTAAATTGACCCAGTTTGAGTTAGACGAGCACACAGGGGGTGTGGAAGGGGAGGGAGAGGGACGTGCCCTCACCAGTCTATGGCAAATGTCCCTATTTCCACTGGAGAATACCATGACGGAGTCTCTCATGCTGGCATTAACTATAGTGAAAGCCTCGCAGGGTAATAATCCTAACTTGATAGATCTAAGTAGCTATGATATTGTCTCAATGGAGGAAATTCTGGAGAAAAAAGATGTCAAAGCTATGCTGAAATTCAGAGAGGATTTATTTTCTAAAATCTCAAAGGCCTAATTAAATAAATAATCATTTCCATGTATCATGAGGAGTCTACCGTATATACTCGCCTATAAGTCAGTCCGCCTATAAGTCGGTTGTATTTTTTAAGCTTCAATTAGAGGGATTGACCCACTAAAATACCTATCTTTTTATAACTCACGTATAAGTCAGATAAGGAGTTTTGGACCAAAGTTTAACTCCCAAAAAAACCGACTTATAGGCGAGTATATACGGTAACATTATTTTGACTGTACTTGATCTGATCCCATCAATGGTGCTAAAGAATTTATTTATACTCTTATGATGTATTGTATTTATTAGATTTTTAACATAGATTATAAATCTAAAAAAGTTGCATTACTCTGGAAATAAAAACAACATTTTACAAATAAATGTACTTAAAATATGTGTTTATCAGAAAAAAAAAATTCTACATGCTTTCAATGACGTTCATGAGGATAAACAAGGGAAACAGAGAAGAGAGTTTGCCAACATAAACAAGTTTATAAATTTCCTTACATAAAAATAATGAAAATTGTCTACTCTGGCACATAATCGTATGGAGAAAATTTACTTTTACATGGTGACCTAAATACTTGATTGAAACTTCTGTCTTTGGACTCTATACGTTCCTCCATAAATGAGAGATGTCAATAAAGCTGTTCATTTTACAAATTCAAATCAATTTTTGGTGCCAAAAATTATGTTTTGTAGACCTTCCAAACAAATATTTAAGTTAAATAGCCTGTTAGGCAGCATCTGTGAAGGATTGTATTAAAAACTCTGCCAATCACCAGCTGATGATCGTAAGGGGAAATAACTATGTAATACTTCGAATAGGCTTACATAAACCAGCACTCTAGAGTCCCCTGTGAAATCTTTAGTACTATAAGAATCAAGTATGTTTTATGGTGGGGTTACGATAGACAGTGGGGTAGCTAGCAAAAAATTTACTGTATTCAAGAATGGCAAGGGGTCTGGGGGCCACCCTAAGGCCCCCAGCGGGTTATGGGCAGGGCCCTGGTGGAGGGTCATGGAATTTAACAGTTTTTAATCAGAAGATCACCTTGAAATATTCTATTTTTTACCACTGTAGTTCAACTTAATATTAACAAAAAATTGCCCCATTTTGACTATACTTTCAGCTCCAAAAAATCATTTTCTTCAAAAGCATTTCTGCTTATGAATAAAGACATTGCTAAATAAAATTATATATTTACATTCATGGCAATATTATTTTGAATTTTAATAAAGATAGAGAAAGCTATTATGGACTAAAGGAAAACCAAAGAAAAAGCTATAAACAGAAAATTTTATGTTTTGGTAGATGTTATAGAATTTATTACACATTTTTTTTTATTATCATATATGCGAACTAAATTCTATACTATATAGTATATATCCAGCTACAAAAAATTGATATCCTCCATTTGAAATATTGTTACATTTTACTTATCGATTGTTTTGAAATTATAGTAATAGTAAAATGCAGTAAATTTGGGTTTTAAATTTATTAGGGGAATTAGTAAATAGCATACAATGTATATTTTGATTTGCTATTGCTTTGAATTGACAATACATGTATTATGAAATTCGTCCTTAAAATACTAAAACCATTACATGAAAGGAGTACACTATGTCAGAGATCTTATATAGAAACTGAAAATATTGTAGTTTATATGCAGGGATGAAATAAATCTAGATTTTTTAAATTCTAAAACCAATTTTATTTTGATCTATTATTGAACTTTTGACGTCTTAAAAAATATATATATTAAAATTATTGTTGTTGAAAATCTGTGTATTCATTTGCGTTGTTGCATAAAGGGCGCTACGCCACTGATAGAGGTCAAAAGTTTATTAAATGTAAAAATTAATCTCAAGAGAAACTACACTGCAATTTTTAGGAACTGTATGCAAAAATTATTTTCAAGTAAATTTGATTGCAATTTGCTTATGGTCATTAGGTTGGGTCATTTTGAAATGTAAACAAAAATTAGTTCATGTAGCCACAGATGTGTAACAGCAGAATGATTTTCCAACTGAATACCTGGAAGAGGGGGAATGCCTTGAATCAATAAAGAAAGAAAAAAATGGTACATGTATGTTTTGTTTAATTTTACTGCAAGTCCAATTAGTCTCTGGTGAGATTTGTGTTCAAATAGAACACTTTGAACCCCGTTAGTTGAAAACAAAATAATTAAAACTTGTAAAAGCGTATTTTCTACATTTAATGACATTGTAAAATACATGAGTATGTACATATGTATGATTTTTTTAATATAATGATTCAAGATGAAGGAACAAATATTAAATAATATCTTAAATTAATCCCTCACATTAAACTATATATCATCTTTAATAAAATTGGACTCAGAAAAATGAACCAAAATTAGGCCATTCAATGAGCACAGAAACTTCTCTTGATATGATTGATCTTAAAATCCAGTTTTAAAATCACAGGAATAAAAAAAAAATGAAGGATATTATGTTTTCATTGTAAGATGTTAAAGTTTGATCCAATGTCTTTTAGAGAGCAATCTCACATTTTCTGCATCAAAGCAAACAGGCATGCTGGACTTATTTGCAATAACGATCAGCCTTCATTTTTTCTCTCCTGAAATTTAAAAATTTTGTCGATAAGAAATACCTGAAAATTTGTTCACTTATCTTTCAGATTACTACAGAAAACTTACTTATTATTGGTCAAAATTTGAAAATCATCTACAGTAGATTACTTATTCAGCTTCTGTAATTCTCTTTACTTTACATGGTAGTGCTTTATTTTCCAAAACCCTTTCCAGTACTATAATGCTTTCAGCCTTTCACACAGTGTGGATAAGATTGTTAGAATCTGACTTGATTCGTTATGGTCTTCTCTATTTAAAATGCAGCAAATCAAAAATAATGTGCATGCCCTACTATGATTCTTCAGGGATATCAGCTTACCTGTTAAGCAGTGTTTCGTGAAAGTTCCCCTCTTTTTTAGCCTTTTTCAGAGAGGACACATCCTCCTTACTCACTTTTAACCTCCTGTCTTGAAAGCTCTGGAATTTTTTCCTGTAAAGAGATTAAATATAACTACATACATGTACTTCTGTTTTTGATAACCAGACTGTTTTTAGGGAAAGGACATTCTGAAGTTTTAAGAATTTGTGTCCAGTCCTTTTAACATCTAAACAATAAAATATGTTCAAACCATATTTTTTTTCTACAAGTCTAATCTTACACATAATTAATTTCTGCTTCTTTGACTTTGCCTCTTTCTTCTTTTGGAATATTGGCCATGGGATCAACTTCTAAGGATAAATTTAATCTGATCTGAAAATAATTCAAAATTGATAAAAACAAGTGTCCCAGATCATAGTTCTTATTAAGCGCTAGGTGGAGTTATCTCCCTCATTTTTATATGTGATTTTGTCAGATTCTCTCTCTTTTTTTTTTTTTTTAATCATCATTATGTACTGTTATACAGTTAAGAATTCAAAATAAATAGTTCTCATTCTAAACAAACTATACCTTAATCATCTCTTGTTCCCCAGCCTTAGAACTAAGACAGACAATTTCATCATCTCTGTTCGCAGACAAAAACTTTCCATTACTTCCATTCAGAGCCATCTTCCCCTGTTTCATAATAAGATTTTTTTTTAAATTTCTGACTGAATAAAAAAATAATAAATCCTTATATATTAATTTAAGTTATCCATACAAATCTTGATGCTAATGTGCCAATTTAATTTAATTTAAGGAAACATTTCTAGAAATTTTAGACAGGGCTTTTCCTAATTCAAAGATTAAAGATGACTGCACAATGTAACATTCATGTTAAAAGACCGGGGTCTTAATAATATCCATATACATTTTAATTTAACATCTCAATAAGAAATATTCACTTCTTGAAAAACTGGTTCCCATTGTTCGCGTTCTCCGATGGCTTCTGCTTTCCCTGTGACATCACCATCGGGATCCACAGTCAGGTACTTCCCGTATCCAGACTTGAGAGCCAGTTTTGTGTCGGAGACTTGTACAGCTGTCAGTATTTCCTCTGCTTCTGGTCCATCACCTGTAGGAAGGGTATAAACATGTTAATGTAGAGGACCATTTCCTCATACACGGGAAACTCATTCCTGAAAACAGCAGTGCTTAAAAAGTTATTTTCAATTACGAAGACATAATAGCCTGCATTCCAGGAAACAAATTGAGATCTTAAACTAATATAAGTTACTAGGTTTATTATAATAATCTCAGTCTCCTTACTTGTAAAATTTACCTTGATCTCTTGCTGGTCCAAGTCTGAATGTGCCATTATCAACAGCAGAAACATACCGACTATCACCTATCTCGATTGCAACATTCCCAGTGATATCTTCAAACTTCTTGGCTACCCACCATCCACCTATAAACAATCAAATAAGCTGATCAGACCTAGTATTTGCTATACATTTTCTTGATTGTTACTACATATATTTTAAAATTTCTTCACACTTCTGTACACTTTGGTGCTTCATGATTTTTTCAAGCTTTTTATGTTGTTCCTTGTTGATACAAGACGTTAATAAGACAATTAATTCAATGCAATTTTATCTACCCAGTGAGAAATTTTGGAGATCATCATTGTATATCAAATATTCCATATTCAAATTGTGTGCATCGATTGTATTAATGATTCATTTTGTGCATTAATTAATAAAGCCATTACAGGACCTGTCCATCACTGTTAATCTATTTTATTGATGTAATGATTTTCATGACTGTGAAAGTAATTATTTTTTAAGTCACATGGTAAGAGGAATTGATTTTGGGAATTGGGAGCAATACTGAAAACCAGTGACTGAACACTTTTCATTTCTATTTATTCAGTAAGTGAATAATATCGATGAAAGATGGTAGAGCAAAACTCGTTTAGTATGAACACGGATATAGCGAATTCATGGATAAAGCGAAGTTTTTAAAGGTCCCTGGCAAAATTCTTAACAATTCTTTGTAAAACTTTACAACTCTGATATACTGTAACAAATTTACAGATATATTGAACTGATTTTGAGTCGCATAGAGGTTAAAAATAATGAAATTTACATATTTTATTACGAATTTTCAAAGATCTCAAAATCTGATATATTGAACTGACTTTATTTTCAGTAAGTATTTGTATATAAAATTCAATTCATAATAAAATCTTAGTTATCAAAGGTATGTTTTGTAATAATTGCTACCCTAACATATATTCGGTAGTAATACTTGAAGGAAAATGTGCATATTGCGAATTCGCTTTATATAGTTTTAGGAATTCGTTATACAGATATAACGAATTACGGATATAGCGAATTAAATTCACAGGTCCCCAGGACTTCGCTATAACCGAGTTTTACTGTAGCAGGAAGGATAATATTCGTAATGAGCAGTTTTCCTTGGTCTTTAACAAGGACAAGCAAACAAACATCATTTCCAAAAAAAGGCTGCAGTCCATATAATGACATGCCATCCATTACTACTGGAATTGAAGGTATGAGGAAATTGCTTTCAAGCCAGATTCACAAGGAAATAGACCCTGATTGAGTTGCCTGCAGTCTACCTAACAAGCTCTAAGATGAGATTACTCCAATGTTTCAGGTTCTCTTCGAGGCATCTCTCAAAGGCATCTATAATAGCAGAGTGGATGACAGCAAATGTAGTATCAATTTACAAAAAAAGGGGAAAGAATAAAGCAGAAAACTATCCTCCTGTCGCCCTGTCAGTGACATGCAAGATGCTGGAGCATATCAATATCATGCGAGATCATGTGACACTTGGAATATAATAACAAACTCCATGATTTCCAGCATGGATTCAGTGAGGAAAGTTCCTGTGAAAGACAGCTAATACTGTAGATTCCTTATTTTTCGCAAGTACTTATTATCATGAAATGGCTCTTTCACGTCAAATCGCGATAACAATAATTCGCGAGTGGACGGTTGATCAAGGGATTTTACATAGATTTCAGCACCATAAAAATAAAAGCGAGAAATTTTATTTCGCGAGTGGTGCTTCTCACATAATTACGCGATAATTAATTCCTCACGTATATTTAGGAATCTACAGTACTATCTTCTAGGACTTAGCTCACAATACTGACTAAAAATGCCAGACCGGTGTCATCTTACTAGACTTTTCAAAAGGCCTTTGACAAGATTCCTCACAAGTGTCTCCTGTACAGTTGGACCACTATGGGATTAGGCAAAGTCATCTGCAATGGATCAAAGACTTCCTTGTAAGTTAGACCCAACAAGTGTTACTGGAGTTGTTGCATCATCTACAGCTCCAGTCAGGAGTCCCCCAGGGTAGTGTGCTTAGACCTTTACTGTTCCTCTTGTTTATCAATGACTTACCAGACTATCCTCAGAGGAGAGCAAGATTGTTTGAAGATTATTATGCCCTCTATATATAGGCAAAAGTGGCTTACATAAATTTTACATGAAATTCACAATTTGCATGAGAAAGAGACGAAAAACAAGACGTGTGAAATTTATGTGAAAACTTCAAGCCATTTTGACTTTCATATGAATTTTACATGAAGAGCATATCGCATAAAAATCATGCAAAGAAAACTTCACAGTTCTGAAAAAAATTATGTGGATATCATACAAATTTATTCACATAATATTTGCATGAAAAAATATTTATATAATTTTTACATGATTTTCACATAATTTTCAAATAAAAAGATAATCACATGAATATCATGTAAGCCACTTTTCCCTCTGCTAGGATATCAGAAAGGAGGAGGAGGATGCCATCAAGCTTCAAGAAGACCTAGAAACAGCAGTGGGAGGGAAAGTGATTGAGTACCAGCCCAAGAAATGTCAAGTTTTATATGTCACCAACAGGAGGAAGTGTGTAGAATATCCTTACAACATCCAAGGACATACCTCAAAGTGATGGAATCTGCCAAGTTGTACCTTTGGGTTAATAAACTCAACATAATCTTTTCTGAAGTGTTATTCCATCAATGCCGATGTAAGAACAAAGCCCTCTGCTACAAAACACTAGTCTGTCTTTTTTAGAATATGTAAGCATCATCTGTGACCAGCATATGGTGGAAAAATCTACATTGGAGATGGTACAGCAGAGAGCTGGCTGAATGGTGCTGAAGACTATCAAACAATCAGCAGTGTCTCCGATATGATCCAGTATCTCAACTGGCCCTCACTGCAGGAGAGCACAGCCCAGACCTCCGATATGATCCAGCATCTCAACTGGCCCTTAACTGCAGGAGAGCATAGCCCAGACCTCCGATATGATCCAGCACCTCAACTGGCCCTCACTGCAGGCAGGGATCGACATTAACGGTTGTCCGATTGCCCGGGACAAGTAAATTCTCAGTTTGGGCAAGTGAAATTGTCGACGTACTTGTCCAATCGGGCAATTGAATTTTTTTCATACAAATGTACATATTTATTTAGTTTACATTGATTTATAAGTAAAACAAAAGATTGAACACTTGATTTCCGCAATTGACAATGTTTTTGCATTCATAATTCCTTGCTAGCCTTTCTGGATTATACCATTCATTTAAAAATCAGGTTCGTTATTTTCTTTCGTAGGAAATACTCTCTACGTCTAACAAAATTGTGTTAACTTCTTATTAGGAAATTAGATTATTTATTCACACACAGAATATAAGTACAGTGTAACACGATTTACCCTGATTAAGATAAGATGTTTGTTTCTTAGCAACTATTTTCCTTTAGCGTTGCTTCACAGTTATCTCTGAAAATCACGATTCACAAAAGGATCCTACCAAAAATAATTTTTTAAAATATAAATTATACTAAAAGGAAACGGAGGGTTATTGCTGCATGGCAGTATGTGTTAAGAGGTTGAATTTACAAGTACAGTGGTATACATTTATGTACTAATGCAGCATCGAAATTTTTTTCAGGTTGCTCAACTTGCCAAATTGACAGTAGTGTATTTGGTCACATTTTTTATATCATAATATTTACAGTAATAATTAATTTTCTTCTTAAGTTCTTTCTTAATTTTGGGCAAACAAGTTTTGCATTCAGACAGGTCAAAGTTTGAGATCACTTGCCCGAGGGGCAAGTGAATCTAAAAGTTAATGTATATCCCTGGCAGGAGAGCACAGACCAGACCTCCGATATGATCCAGCATCTCAACTGGCCCTCACTGCAGGAAAGCACAGCCCTGACCTCCGATATGATCCAGCATCTCAACTGGCCCTCACTGCAGGAGAGCACAGACCAGACCTCCGATATGATCCAGCATCTCAACTGGCCCTCACTGCAGGAAAGCACAGCCCTGACCTCCGATATGATCCAGCATCTCAACTGGCCCTCACTGCAGGAGAGCACAGACCAGACCTCCGATATGATCCAGCATCTCAACTGGCCCTCACTGCAGGAAAGCACAGACCAGACCTCTGATATGATCCAGCATCTCAACTGGCCCTCACTGCAGGAGAGCACAGACCAGATCAAGGCTATTATGATATACTGGATTGTGTATCAGTTGATTGGCATTCCACTTATTCTCCTGATACAAACCATCCCTCAAAGACGGAACATCACCTTTCTTTTAATGTTGGAGATAGACATTAACAGTTGCCCAAGGCAAGTAAATTCTCAGTTCAGGCAAGTGAAACTATCAATTTACTGATCTGATTGGGCAAGTGAATTTTTTTGACAGAAACTAAATTACATGTAGTTTGTAAATGAAATAATAAATCATATACTTGCATTTTATTTCAAAAATGCCATTGTTTTTGCATTCAGAATCATTATCTAGAAGTAATTCTTTAATAATCTGCAATATTGTTAGCAAATGTTAATAACATTTCACTGTTCCAATACCATTTTTTGTATTATTGAAATAAAAATAATAATGTTATTCGTTTCTTAGATGGAATCTGGAACTCCTTACTATCAGAAGCTGCCAATGCACCATCCTTAGACAGCTTCATTGCCAGATCCAGTCAACATCCTTAGAGAACCTGGATTTTAAACTTCTAAAATTTTACTGCATCGTAAATATTATTTTATTTTCTGAAGATGACTTCGCACCACACTGTACGAAAAAATATAAGTGGCGAAGTACCTTACCCTAAGAAAAAAAATGGGGAAAATTTCTTTGTTAGCCTTCTGTTGACCTTCACCCTCCCTGTTGTCTTAACATGATTGACCATGTCTGGATCTGTACCAAAAGCACCACCTGAAGTCTTACCATGATTGACCATGTCTGGATCTGTACCAGATGCACCACCTGAGGTCTTACCATGAGCGACCATGTCTGGATCTGTACTAGAAGCACCACCTGAAGTCTTAACATGAGCGACTATGTCTGGATCTGTACTAGAAGCACCACCTGAAGTCTTAACATGAGCGACTATGTCTGGATTTGAACTAGAAGCACCACCTGAAGCCTTACCATGAGCGACCATGTCTGGATCTTCTATACTAGAAGCACCACCTGAGGTCTTATCAAAAGCGACCATGTCTGGATCTGTACTAGAAGCATCACCTGAGGTCTTACCAAAAGCGACCTCATCTGGGTCTGTACTAGAAGCACCACCTGAAGTCTTACCATGAGCGAACATGTCTGGATCTGTACTAGAAGCACCACCTGAAGTCTTACCATGATTGACCATGTCTGGATATGTACCAGATGCACCACCTGAGGTCTTACTATGAGCAACCATGTCTGGGTCTGTACTAGAAGCACCACCTAAAGTCTTAACATGAGCGACCATGTCTGGGTCTGTACTAGAAGCACCACCTGAAGTCTTACCATGAGCGACCATGTCTGGATCTGTATTAGAAGCACCACCTGAAGTCTTACCATGAGCGACCATGTCTGGATCTGTACTAGAAGCACCACCTGAAGTCTTACCATGAGCGACCATGTCTGGATCTGTACTAGAAGCACCACCTGAAGTCTTACCATGAGCGACCATGTCTGGATCTGTACTAGAAGCACCACCTGAAGTCTTACCATGAGCGACCATATCTGGATCTGTATTAGAAGCACCACCTGAAGTCTACCATGAGCGACCATGTCTGGATCTGTACTAGAAGCACCACCTGAAGTCTTACCACGAGCGACTATGTCTGGATCTGTATTAGAAGCACCACCTGAAGTCTTACCATGAGCGACCATGTCTGGGTCTGTACTAGAAGCACCACCTGAAGTCTTACCATGAGCGACCATGTCTGGATCTGTACTAGAAGCACCACCTGAGGTCTTACCATGAGCGACCATGTCTGGATCTGTATTAGAAGCACCACCTGAAGTCTTACCATGAGCGACCATGTCTGGATCTGTACTAGAAGCACCACCTGAAGTCTTACAATGAGCGACCATGTCTGGATCTGTACTAGAAGCACCACCTGAAGTCTACCATGAGCGACCATGTCTGGATCTGTACTAGAAGCACCACCTGAAGTCTTACCATGAGCGACCATGTCTGGGTCTGTACTAGAAGCACCACCTGAGGTCTTACCATGAGCGATCATGTCTGGATCTGTACTGGAAGCACCACCTGAGGTCTTGGAGATGTCTTCCATCTCGTCATGCTTTCTCTTCTTTTTATGCTTCTTGTGTCTAAAAAATATATCAATTACTGCCATTGTTTGCTGCAAAAGTACAGTTTAGAATTATATACTTTCATTTAGATCAGAATACAATAACACTGGTAAACCTTAACAGCTCAGGTATCAAAACCTGATGAAAATTTGTTCTTTCAATAAAATCATATTGCACCATAAAGCTCTGAAACACTGAGTATTGTCGGGTCACTATAATTTTTCAGCATTGAAAAGTGTAGTCACACATGTATCAAATTCAAATGAAAAATGACAAAAAGTGTATCCTTTGAAAACCTAGAATAAATACATGTATACACATACCTTAACTTTGTTATCTCAAATACCAGGGATATGTCAGAGTGAGTTGGCAGTCCGAACCATTCATTATTTATGTTTTTTACCCTGTTTATCTTGATTCATCTTATTTATGTTTTTTACCCTGTTTATCTCGATTCATCTGATTCATCAGATAACTTGAAATTTAAGCTGGGTCCCATTGAGATCAAGGTAATGAGGATTGACTGTATTCCTACTTAAAACTTTGATCCCTTATAAAATCCTATTTGGCCCCACTCTACTCCCAGGGAATAATTTAAACAAACTTAAAACTAATTCTGGATATATTTTTAATACCTCCTATTGTGGCCCCATCCTCAGGTCTCTGGGGCCATGCATTAAACAAACATGAATTTACAATATCTAAATAAAGTGCACTATCACGACACATGTACGCCTGTCAAATACTGTTATTGTAAACAGATGAGTGTACATGGAAGAAAAACATGTCAACCTTGGTACAAAGATTTCAATGATTTTTTTTCCATCCCTTATGTTTGTTCTTGTGCATCTCTCATGAAGTAGTTATTAATTAGAACAAAAAAGTATACTAGATATTTCTCACCTGGTTATGTTACAGTTATACAAAAGCCCAATCTGCAGCTTTGTTCACTGAATTTTTTATGAAAGATGAACAGCCTAATAAAACAGCAAAATACTAATATAATAGTTTATTAGACTATAAAAACTGTCATCTGCATAGGACATGGCTCTCCGCAATTTGTTTGTTGACATATAAAAATTAAAATTAAAATATTATATTATACAATATCAAATTCATTTTGATAATTTTCTACCAATGAAATTAATTATGAAAATAATGGCTAGCCATCAAGAACTATTTCAAATTGACAGATGTTATTAAAATGCAAATAAGAGGCCAGATTCCTCTGCCAAATTCCCCCGAGATATAGATAACACCTGCTCAATCAGAGACACTCTAACAGAAATGATTAAGACAGTTTTCTTATTCTCAGTTCATTACTGGTTATCTTTAACTTGACAAACTCTTATCAAAATGCCCCAGTTGCATATTGAAACACCATGACTTACTCCCATGGGACAAGTGGAATTTCTCTTGTTATTGTTAGAAAAAAAAAAATGTTGCATTTAACATGAACATTTACTTAATGTAAAATCTCCACAAATCTTATCTTTCTGAGAAGTATTTAAAGTCCTTTTAGTCAAGGGTCATATCACAAACATGATTTAAGAAGGCTGGGGGGTCAACAAATTAACCATCAGATATAACTTAATTTTTTAGATATGATATCTTAAGCTGTCAACTATCATTTGGCAAACAAAAATTTCATAAATTTTAGTTTTAAAATTTGATCATTTTTGTATATCTTTATATGGAGCTCTTCTTCTAAAGGAGATCAATATAGTCTGAAAATGGCCACAACCACCCAGCCCTCTTAAATGCCATTATTTGTTATGAACATTATAGCATAATGGTAAGCTTGTTAGTCTAAAAGGGAAAATTGATATTCAGGATTTTTATTGCCTGGGTTTGAACCCCATATCTTTTTTTTTTAATTATAGAATGATTTTTGCTGAAAGAATTTTCTGCAGAAAAGTTTTGTTTGTTATAATCTCATGCCTTTCAATGATAAGAACTTCACTCTAAATATTATTGCATTGTAAATTCACAAATTGAATATGACTTCTATACATTTGATGCTATAGGCATTTTGCACACCTTGTTCATCCATCTCCTTTGTGAATATAAGGTTAATGTAAATATTTTTACATCTGTAGGGAATATCTCCCTTAAAACATACTTTTATAAAAAAAAAATTATCTTAATTAAAGGCCACAGTGACCTTAATGTATGGTGCAACTCACCTTTACCTAGATGCATTAACTGACCAAGTTTGATGATTCTAATAGTTTTCTTGTTATGAGTCAGACTGGTCCTATCATCTTCATTAAAGGTCAGAGTATTAGTAACCTAGTTTTAATGTGCAACACACCTTCTACCCAAGATATATCAGCTGACAAAGTCTGATAATTCTAAGCCCCATAGTATTTAAGTCATGAGCCAAAAAAAAAAACAAAAAACAAGAGATGTTTGTGAAACACTTATCCCCCCCCCCCCCCCCCCCAAATAATTGGAATTTTTCTAAATCCAAGGGGCATAACTTTGTCAAAAATTGCTCTATCTTACCCAAAACAGAACTTGACCTAGATATTTTTATGATAAATCTGTATACCAATTTTCATTTCAGTATGTGCAACCTCTGCAAAGAAAATGAACGGAAACTGCAAATAATTGGAAGTTTTCAAAGTCCAAGGGGCATAACTTTGTCAAAAATTGGTCTATCGTACCCAAAACAGAACTTGACCTAGATATTTTTGTGATAAATCTGTATACCAATTTTCATTTCAGTATGTGCAACCTCTGCAAAGAAAATGAACGGAAACTGCAAATAATTGGAAGTTTTCAAAGTCCAAGGGGCATAACTGTGTCAAAAATTGCTTGAACGTAACCAAAACAAAACTTTACGATAAATCTGTATACCAAATTTCATTTCAAATAGCATAATGGTAAGCTTGTTAGTCTAAAAGGGAAAATTGATATTCAGGATTTTTATTGCCTGGGTTTGAACCCCATATATCTTTTTTTTTTAATTATAGAATGATTTTTGCTGAAAGAATTTTCTGCAGAAAAGTTTTGTTTGTTATAATCTCATGCCTTTCAATGATAAGAACTTCACTCTAAATATTATTGCATTGTAAATTCACAAATTGAATATGACTTCTATACATTTGATGCTATAGGCATTTTGCACACCTTGTTCATCCATCTCCTTTGTGAATATAAGGTTAATGTAAATATTTTTACATCTGTAGGGAATATCTCCCTTAAAACATACTTTTATAAAAAAAAAAAATTATCTTAATTAAAGGCCACAGTGACCTTAATGTATGGTGCAACTCACCTTTACCTAGATGCATTAACTGACCAAGTTTGATGATTCTAATAGTTTTCTTGTTATGAGTCAGACTGGTCCTATCATCTTCATTAAAGGTCAAAGTATTAGTAACCTAGTTTTAATGTGCAACACACCTTCTACCCAAGATGTATCAGCTGACAAAGTCTGATAATTCTAAGCCCCATAGTATTTAAGTCATGAGCCGAAAAGAAAAAAAAAACAAGAGATGTTTGTGAAACACTTATCCCCCCCCCCCCCCCCCCCCCAATAATTGGAATTTTTCTAAATCCAAGGGGCATAACTTTGTCAAAAATTGCTCTATCGTACCCAAAACAGAACTTGACCTAGATATTTTTATGATAAATCTGTATATCAATTTTCATTTCAGTATGTGCAACCTCTGCAAAGAAAATGAACGGAAACTGCAAATAATTGGAAGTTTTCAAAGTCCAAGGGGCATAACTGTGTTATAAATTGCTTGAACATAACCAAAACAAAACTTTATGATAAATCTGTATACCAAATTTCATTTTAAATAGCTTTATTAAGATATTTTGAATACCTTATTAATAAAGCTTAATTTATAGCTATTTCAAGCTATATAGCTATTTGTGTTGGACTTGTTCTCCTTTAAATTACATGGTTTATCCAGAGCGTAGCGAGTGAAGCTCACCGGTTGTTGTTTAAATTGTTGCAGGTGTCATAACAGTATTTCACTTGAGGTTCATGTCAAATCATGGCTGACGCAAAATAATTCCTGAATCTTCCCTTCCAATTCGGGCATTTTAACACGAGACTGGAGCTGAATTTTTTTATGAGATGAAAAACAATATGTAAACTTCCTGTATTGACTAGATTCATTATAATTTAGGGCGTGCTGATTTTTCTATAATTTGGGTGCGTTCACAATTCTTCCATTGGTTGATATTGGTGGTGCAATTTACCTTTGGCAAAACATTGGTACCAATGTTTACCATTGGTAACTTTTATTGGTTACCAATTCTGCAGGCCAACCACATTCGTGGCAGAATTACAAACGCAGATTTTTCGTTTATTAGAGTCACCCCCAAGATTTCTACTGGGACCATTTCTGGTAGAGCAAGTGAAGTTTCCTCATATAAATTCCACTTCATATTTAAAAACTATTTAAGGGTGAACATAGTGTTATCTCTACATAGTATTGTACATTTGGTACAAATGAAAACTTATTTGGCAAAAAAATATCACCTGAAGACAAATAAAGTTATGTCCATAAGAATAATTTTCATTTTTTAAACAGTGCAAGAAAGACTTTTTTATTGAATTTGTTATTTCTGAAAAATGGTGAAAAAATAAACATTTGCCGTTGGTAACCATTGATTCCCACCGGTGACCATTAGTAACCGAGTGGTACCATTAGTTACCTTTGGCAACCGTTGGTATAACCTTTGGCTGTTTTGCCCTTGGTTTACCAATATGCAGTTCACAGATTTAAGGCAACCAATTGTACCATTGTTTAACATTGGTGCCAAAGACAACCAATGGCAGAATCGATATTTGTACCAATGCAAAAATTGTGAACGCACCCACTGTATTTGAGTGGGGAGTGATTAGGTCCTGGACTTGATTTTCAAGCACCTGCTCGACTTCGACCGAAACAAACTTGCGTGCCTTGCTGGATGGCTATGTATTTTTTGGTACTAAAATCTTTATAAAGAATTGTTTACAAGATCTGAAAAGGAAACTTCTCAAAAGTTTGTTTTTCAATTAATACCATCTACTCAAAGTTGCGCATTCTTTGGTAAGAATATATAGCAAAATTTAATACTGTTGTGCAACCTTTATGAATAAAACTGCCGACTCCTATGGGTTTATCAAGTAATTATCATTGGTTATTTGAATTTTGACACTGATATAATACATACTTCTTCTCCTTGTGACCCTTTAATTTTAGTTTGCCGCCCTTGACGAAGGTATATGCATCAGCCATAATTCAATCATGGGCGCAGCCATATAGGGATCAGTAATATCCAGAGTGATAACGCACAAATAATTCCGGAAGTGTCTATCGGCACGACGGTCGTGCCGATTATTTTCGTTATTCGCACGACGGTCGTGCTAATTACAGTTCTTATCCGCACGACACAAGAGAGATAACTCTATAGTACATTATATTCACTTTTCACCAAAAATTTAATAGTAAAAGAGATGCACCTAATACACATATGTAGAACTAATATTATTACATTCGGTTAAGTAAAATTTGCTTACGGTGAATTTTCTTCGTGAATCGTCGTGACACAGTATAATAAGAATTAATTTTTTATTCGTCCTTTATATCATCTCTTGAGTACATGTAACGTACTTCAGACGTTATTTTGATTGGAAATATAATATAATATAATATATATATATATATATATATATATATATATATATATATATATATATATATATATATATATATATATATATATATATATATATATATATATATATATATATATATATATATACAGCTATTTATTTTCAATAATTTTCTTTCGTTTTTATGGTGTTTATATTCTCTTTCCATAATTTTCCATTTTTCTGGATGGTCTTAATAATCTCTCTCCCTCTCTCTCTCTCTCTCCTTCCAGTATACTGTAGACGTATTTTTTTTTTATCTTGGGATTAATTGATAACGCTATATGTGAAAATTTATCACAGCGTACAAATTTAAAAATCTTTAAGACATGCAAAGGCAATCAAAAATTCAGATAATTTTATATCCGCGAATCGAACAGAGTTTGTGATTCCGTGGAATTGTGACCCCGTGGAAAAAATAACGTTTACATTACTTCACATAGCTATTATAAAATGATTAAAATATTCTGTCGAATTTCCCCTATTTATTTTATTTTAAAATAAATTTTATGTTAAACAGTACATAAATTAATTTCTAATATATTCATAGAGGATTTTTTTAAAAGTCAATTTATGCATTATTATATACTTTGATAGTGAACATATATAGTTTCATCTAAACGTTTTCTTATGTACGTTGATCAAACTTGTTTGGAGTTTTTCAAATATACAGGAACATTTAAATTCATTCAAAAATTCTTTAGAATTAATATGATACGATCGATATAATCCATGTCCATAAAAGAAAAGACACTGATTTTAATTTCAGAGTAGTAAATATAAATATTAAAAAAAAAAAGCATGGGATAGATTCACATCTAGTCTACTTTATTGCAATACTGAGACCGTGATCTTGATTCCGATATAATAATTCACGAGTACATGTACATGTATAAGGCGCGGATCCAGGAATTTTTACCAAGGGGGGAGGGGGGGGGGGTCCACCCCAGTCAAAAAAATTCAAATCCAGAAATTTCTTGACACGCAAAAAAACAATAAACAAAAAACAAAACGTAAACTCTTTTCCCAAACGTGAAAAACCTATTTCGAGGGGGGGGGGGGGGGGGGAGTAGTCATTGACATCTAAAGCTTTTCAGACCAACTAGGGGGTCCATGGTCACTTTTAGATGGTTTAGTATATACATTTTATAACTCTGAAAATTCCGGGGGGGGGGATTCCTCTAGATCCGCGCATGTGTATCATAGGACGCAGACTACCAATTATTTTGCTATAATGTACTCTTTTATAACATTAATTTAAGGAATTTCACTGCCTCAACTCACCTGGAAAATCAGGAAAATTCGTAGTGTACAAGCCATGCTGTGACACTTCAAATAACCCCTACACTGCACATATTTCAAATTCCCTTAAAATTTGAGAAGCAAATAAAAAATTCTTTTTTATATTTTCCTAAAAGCAAAGATTCCAAGATTGTAATTTTTAAAAAATTCCAGACATTTTTATTTCCATCTAAAATCATCCCATTCCACCCCATACACATTCCAGAGGATTTTAAAGGAAGAAAACACTGTATTTTTTTAAATGGCACCACTTGCACAAAATGGGGCAAATTAACCATTGCAGTGTCGGACTGTCCAGAAAATGTTTTTCTAATATATATAAAACTGAAATTTGAGTGTCGTATTTCGAAAAAAGCCGTTGTTTTCTTTTTGAAAAATCGTAATCTTAATTATGCCGCGGCAAATACTTTGATTGAAATAGGAATTTCTGAAGAGTAAGGGATAAGTTCACTTTTTGTGTCCGTCTAATATGTTAAATTCGCTTTGAGTTTCTACACACAATAGCAAAACACCGAGTAAAAATTTATTTATATAAAATAAGTATATGCAAATATAAATAATATAAAGTTATAAACAAAAAAAAATATAAAATTGTTTCAAAGTTTGTCGTGCGAATAGCCTCCGTAATCGGCACGACCGTCGTGCGGATAACAACAGTAATTAGCACGACCGTCGTGCGGATAGCCTCGGCCAATAATTCCGAGATTCCGGAAACTTTTAGAATTTAAGATTAACCATAAGCATGATTTAAAAAGTAAAGCAGGGATACCTGGCTTCATTATTGGTATAAAAAATAAATGTCCTGTAAATAACTAATATTTTCTAATTATCTTAATTCTTTATACAGGCACGTAGCATCGGAGGGGGGGGGGCATAATTAAAACATAATTTTTTACTATTTACTATTGAAAATGTTCATGAAAGGGTGGTTGCCCCCCCCCCCCCCACTTTTTGTTGCAGTATAGTCAAATAAGGGTAATGTAGTTATGTAGTACTGGAAAAAAGTTGGACCCCCCCCCCCCCACACACACACGAAATAGGATTTTCGAGATTGATATTTGACCTCGTGACCTTGACCTTCAAGTGACCTAATTTAACAAAAATAATCATTGCTGCTAACTTTTGAAGAAGAGAAGCTAGGGCATTCAGATTTGAGATGTGAATTTTAACATGTGCATGTGAGTTTTGACCTAATGTCCAAAATTTTTAACATTGCTGACATCTTTTAAGTATAGGTATCTGTAAGAATCAGGCAAAAGGTGAATCAAGAGGGTTCTCAGAATTTGATGATTTTCAACACATAGATTTCTCTTGTGCTATGAACCATGTATGCAAAGTGAAAAAAAAATTTGGGTCATGGTTACTATGGAAACATGACGAAAGAAATTTCCCTAGCAACCAGTCAATTTTCCATGTGTATGGACAAAAAAATCACTAATCTTTAGGGCTTGAAATTTATTGTGAATATTTAAGAATTTCTTCTTATTTATTCTTATCGTAAAGATAAACATCTAAAATGTTTTCACAATGCATTACATAGATATAAGATTTTGGATATAGCTGTACTAGACAAGGGTAGATATGCATGTTTTGTGTTTTTTGCTGATTCAGCATTTTTGTTGATTTTGGTACTTTTCAAAGCCTTATTACTCAAACTTCTGGCGTAATACAGGAGTTGCAAGTATTTCGCACAAAAGCAGAGGAATGTCTCTTTTGGACTTTAAATTCAAAAGGTGTGTTTTTTGAAAATTCCAATCTGTTGCCTAGCAACAAAAATGGATGTTTTGATAAATAAGAATGGAAAATCGTACAATGTGAACATTATTAATCTGATAAATTTAATCTGAGAGTATAAAAACACAGTTTAAAGTAAGAAAATATATCTGAAATATATCAAGAAAAACATTGTAAAGATACTTATCTCCATGGCAACAGCAAATTTTCCATAGCAACAAAGCAAATAAAGTCACTTTTGGCTCATATTTATGAACAATTGTAAAAAATTAATCCAGTTTGGTAGCATATTGCACTTAATCAAATTTGATTTTGTAATAGATGTCTTAGCAAAGTACATTTTTATAATTTCAACCCATTTTTATACTTTACCCATGGCAACAACAACTGAGCAACAATTGAGCACATAAGAACCAAAATATGTTATGGAGAATTACTAACAATTTTCTGTAACCACTTGAACTTTTTATCGCACGCATGGTCACCTATTATCATGAAACTTTGCTCGTTGTAATAGTTACAATTATAATAGTTTGAGTTTGACAACAGAATTTTAAATCAATCAAAGTTTGGTTGCCATGTGCCTTGGTTGTCATGGTAACAGACAGGTTGATTTCAACAAAATTTAGATTTTCGGCTACTTTGAATCTTTATTGATCCTTCACAAGCACTTAGAAAACTTGTTAATAGTCTGAGGGTGTATCTTGACTTTTACCCAAGGTCATTTCAGCTAGTTCAAGGTCACTAGCAGTTAGAAGTATAAAATTCGTGTCTGGTCTATAACTGTCTTTTTCTATATTGCTGCTTGAAATTGGTTTAGCGGTTCTAGAGAAGAAGTTGAAAATGTTCAAAAGTTAACTTAATGCACGACGGACGACGCACGATGACAGACAAAAACGGATAGCAATAGGTCACCTGAGTGACTCAGGTGATCTAAAAAGTTGTTTAGCCATGTAATTACCCATAAATCTAGGGGGTATAAGAAACAAGAGGCCCATGGGACACATCGCTCACCTGAGCAATGTGGCTGGGGGAAAAAGCAAAAATCAGTTCAGAATTGAAAGATTTAATGCATAAGTGGTCCTGACCTACCTTCTTAAAGGGAATGGGGGTATGATTAGAACAAAATTGAATCTAAACTATCTAAAGATGCTTACATATTTCTTTGTCTGTGACTTTTTTCCTACAAGTTTGAACTTTCGTTATGTTCCCACCCTACCCCCGGGGGTCATGGTTTGAACAAACTGAATCTACACTATCTATTATGACCAATCATAGCTTTGCTGTTCTTGAGAAGATTTTAAAAAAAAATTCCATGTATTCATATGCATGACTTTAATCGCCAATTGTAGTCCCACCCTATCCCCAGGGGGTCATCATTTTTTCAAACATGAATCTACATTAACTTAGAATACTTCCGAATAGTTAATAATCAATCATGGCTTTGCTGTTCTTGAGAAGATTTTTTTCTATATATTCCTATGTTAAACTTTTATCGTTTATTGTGCCCCCACCCTACCATGGGGGGGGGGGGGAGGGGTTATGATT